CAACTTCGGAGATCAATTGCAAACCCAGCTGCGTGATCGATTCATGGCCGGTGTTAATTGCCCCGAATGACAGCAAACGCTCCTGTTCATGCACGATTGCACATTTCAATCGGCTACGACAGTCTGCGAACAGTAACAAGACGTCCGTGCCATTATTTGTGATAAACTCAACTTGTTGTTCAATGCCAGCAATTCCAAACAGTCATCATCCCGACGAAAGCGGTTTTTCGAAAAGGGCTCGAAAACACCGAGCAGCATCAGTTTTCCGGCCCACAATGACGAACGGATTCAACGATGGAACAAGTGCAATTCCTGTGGTCAAAGACATTCGCGGCTATCCTGTAGATTTCATAATGCCAAGTGTCACAATTGTGGTAAGCTTGGTCATATTCAATCTGTCTGCAGAAGTGCGAAGTTGTATCTTACAAAACGTACGATTGTTCATTCCTCTAAAGATTTAGTGTATGATTTACAGTCCTTAACTCTAGCCAGTACCAGTTCACGTCCCTCTCGCCATATTACTTGCGACTTCATCATTAATGACTCCATTCACGATACATTCATTATGGATACCGGCAGTGTTGTTTCTTTCATTTCCAACAAGGTATTTCGTCAGTTAAACCCCCCAGTTGAACTTTCCCCAACAGACATTTCAGTTAGGGGAATTACCGGTCATTTTTTGCCCGTCTTAGGATCATTCGAACTGCTTCTTAAAGACCATAAATCACAAACATTCCACTGCCGGTTTTTGGTTATTGATTCAGACATTTCGATTATTGGTTTGAATTGTATGAATCGTATGCATCTGTCATTTTAATTTATGTTTGACTTCCATCAATCACGCCTTCGTCACTTAATACTTGAATGTTCCAAGGCAAAGGGTGGTATCAAAATGACTCCTGTGAGTCTCGAAGTAACCGGTTCTCCGGTGTGTATTAAACGTCGGATTATCCCACTTGGAATTCGTGAGCCCGTAAAAAAGGCGTTGGATGAAATGGTAAGCAAGGGAGTTCTGACACCCATAAATTCTTCGTCTTGGGCCACGTCAATTGTTAATCCACTAAAACGTGTCGGGAAGACTCCTAGGATATGTGGGGATTATCGAGTCACTGTGAACAGACACTTAAAACAGTCTTGTTGTGCCACCGTCGAACCAGAAGACATTCTGCACCAACTTCATGGATCCAAATTTTTCTCTAGTCTAGACTTGAAAGAAGCATTTCTCCAAATTCCTCTTGATGAAAAGTCCCGTGAACTCACGACTATTAACACATCTTTTGGNTGGTTTATTTCGCTACAACTTTCTACCGTTTGGACTCAGTGTTTCCCTGCTATTTTTCAGACTACCATTAATTCCATAATTTCTGGTTTACAAGGTTTATGTGCCTATTAGGACGATATTATTGTTCATGCGCCTAGCAGACACTTACATGACGAACGCTCGAGTGCTTTGCTTGAAAGATTCCGTTCTCATGATGTTTCTATTAACCCTGATAAATGTACCTTTGCTACGACTAAACTTTCTTGTTTAGGTTGATGAATCCGGATTTCTTCCTGACCCTAATAGATTTTCTTCGTTGTCTAATGCTCCATCTCCCAAGTCACTCCATGAACTTCATTCTTTAATTGGTTCTTTACAATACTATTCCAAGTTTATTCCTAACTTTTCAACCCAAGCTACTCTATTGTTCGATTTACAGTCACAGCAAAAATTTCGGTGTGCTTCGGTCTATGAACTTGCCTTGAGGAAGTTACTTTTTTAACTACTAGTGCTGTTTTACGTCCTTTTTCCCCACGATTACATTCTACCGTCATCACGGACGCATCGCCCGTTGGAATCGGAGTTGTGTTGGAGCAGAATGGTCATCCGGTGCTGTGCATCTCAGGCAGACTCACGGCTGCCGAACGTGGGTATTCTCAAACTCAGCGAGTAGCTCTAGCTGTCTATTGGGCTGTCACGAGTATGCACAAGTATCTTTGTGGTACTCATTTCACTGTTGTGAGTGATCATGAAGCCCTGCAGTTCATTTGCAACCCTCAACGTTCCTTGGTTATGTCACCTGCAGCCATGGTACAACAATGGAGTATTGCGTTGTCTGCCTATTCCTACGACATCCATCATCGCAGCGCGCAGTCCATTCCACACGCAGACTATCTATCACGCTAAGCCATTTCAGAGGCATCTACGACTGATTGTCTACTCACTCAACCGCTCCCGGTAGGCCGATCTGATCTAGTTCGCGAGACCAGGAAATATTACCACGCTATCATTTCCTGTGTCTGTCGAGGTTGGCGAGGTGATATCAAGTGTCAATTTCCGGAATTCTATAAACGTCATGAAGAAATTTGTGACATGTGATGGTGGTTTGTGCTACGATGATCGCGTTATCGTACCTCCGACATTACGTACTGCTGTTCTCAATGACTTACATTCCGGTCATCTCGGCATTGAAAAGATGAAATCTCTTGCTAGTCTCACATGCTGGTGGCCTGAATTGAATCATGATCTGAATCGCGTTGCAAAATCCTGTGCTGATTGTGTGCACAAAACTCACAGACAACCTTCAAAATGAACTCCGTGGCCAGTATCTTCCGAGTCATGGCAAAGAATACATGTGGATTATTGTGCTCCATTCGTCAACAAGTATTACACATTGGTGATCGTCGATTCCTATTCCCGTTGGCCAGAAGTGTACTTTACCACAACTCCCAGTTCAGAATTTGCTATACGAGCACTCAGGAAAACGTTC